TAGCGATAGTAGTCGTACCAGTAGTAGGACTAGCATTAGTAGTAGTGGCGGAAGCCGTAGTAATAATAGTAACAGTAGTAGTAGTAGTAGCAGTTGTGTAGTGTGGTAGTAGTGGTAGTGGTAGTACTCACAATAAGAGTAAGACTAAGAGTAGTAGTAGTAAGAATAGTAGTAGGAGTAGTTGTAATAAAAGTAGTAGTACTAGTCGTACTAGTAACAGTAGTAGTAGTCGTCGTCGTAGTAGTAGTAGTAGTAATAGTAATGGTAGTAGTAGTAGTAGTAGTAGTAGTAGTAGTAGTAGTAGTAGTAGTCGTAGTACTAGTCGTAGTGGTAGTCGTAGTGGTAGTAGTAGTAGTGGTAGTAGTAGTAGTAGTAGTAGTAGTAGTAGTAGTAGATTGGGTAGTTGCAACAGTAGTAATGGTGGTGTCGGCAGTGATACGAGTAGTGTTGTAGTAGTAATCATAGCAGGCAACGCAAGACACGTAGTAGTCGTAGTGGTAGTAGTCGTGGTCACTCTCAGTAGTGGTAGTAGTAGTGACAGTAGTAGTATTGGCACTACTTATAGTAGTAGTAGTAGTAGTACTAGCAGTTGCAGTAGTAGTAGTAGTAGTAGTAGTAGTAGCAGCAGCAGCAGCAGTAGTAGTAGTAGTAGTAGTAGTAGTAGTACTAGTACTAGTACTGGTACTAGTACTAGTACTAGTACTAGTACCAGTACTAATACGAGTCCTAGTAGTGAGTATAGTAGTAGCCATGACACCAGAAGTGGTAGTGCTGGTAGCACGAATCGCAGTACTAGTAGTAGTAGTAGTCGTTGTTGTTGTTGTAGTTGTAGGCGGCGTCGCTTCAGTAGAAGTAATAATATTAAAAGCAGTAGGCGTAGTAGTAGAAACAGGAAAAAATAGTAGTGTTTGTAGTAGTAGTAGTGGTAGTAGTAGTAGTAGTAGTAGTAGTAGTAGTAGTAGTAGTAGGAGTAGAAGTAGTCGTAGTAGCTGTAGCAGTAGTAGTCGTAGCAGAAGTCGTATCAGTAGGTCGAAGTGGTAGTAAGTTTCGTAGTATTGACCTCAAAAGTTGGTCCTCCTGCAGCCCTCGAGAGTTGGCCCTTGTAGGGCTTATTTTGGCGCCAAGAAAAGTCAATAAGGGCCCCATGAGGGCTCCAAGAAGGCCCCAAGCGGGCCTTAAGAGTGGCCCAGAGCGAACTCAAGAAGGCCCCCAAAGCGCCCCCTTCCCCTAAGGATTTTTCAGGACTCCCATGAATTCGCGAATATTCCTAAGGATCCCAAGGAATCCCAAGGACCCTAAGGAATCCGAAGGACCCTAAGGAATCCTAAGGAATCGTAAGGGATCCTAAGGAATCGAAGTACTTCTGAAGAAGAAGAAGTACTTCTGAAGAAGAAAGAAATACTTCTGAAGAAGAAAGAAGTACTTCTGAAGATCCCATGGTTGTAATTGGTCCCATTTATGGTTGCAATTCGCTCCGAACGGTTGGAATTGGGACTAGTCGGTTGTAATTCGTCCCATTTCGGGGGGAGGGGCGGGGGGAGGAGGAGAGAGGGAGGGAGGGAGGAGGGGGAGGGGAGAGAGGCAGGCCGGAGAAACGCGAGGAGCCACAACCACAGATGGCCCTCCTCCTCCTCCTCCTCCTTTTCCTCCTCCTCCTTTTCCTCCTCCTCCTCCTCCTCATGCGCCTCCTCGCGATCCGTCTGGCCCCTATGGGCCGCCAGGCATAGCAGAAAACCGAAACCCCGACACAAACTGAATCCATAGTTTCTCTGATCCTGATGGAGGCGGCCCAATGTACAAAGTCAGGCTGGGCATCGTCGAACTCGAGCGTCCCGACGAGACACCAGCCAGTTGCATATCCAGGCTTCAGTCGCAGCTGGGAGCAGTCTTTTGCGCACTGTGGACAGCGAACACGCAGCGTACCCTGCCCCCTGGATGGAGGGCACCCAAGTCCGACCCGAAACTACACATGCCCGCGGGTATCATCAACTTCCTAGAGGCTTGGAAGGACTGCGGGTACGACGCCTGCGAGATGGACAGGAGACTGGGCTATGGTATCGACTGGAACAAGATACGAGCCAACTACCTGCGGCACTCCCAGACAGACGACTGGAGCAAAGGCGGCTATCGCCACACGGGCTGGCGCGACCGTGCGACAAGTTCCCGGGGACCTGGAGCAGTTGGCAGGGCGAGTGGCGCGACGGATGGCGTGAGGATCACTGGCATGCGGGTGGCAAGCGCGGCGGAGGCTACCCTGATGATCGGGATGATCGAGATGAAAAGAGACTCCGCTGGAAAGACTGAACTACCTCTCTGCCCTCACCGCCCCCCAGTGCCCGCCCCGCCGCCTGCGCTTCACAACACACCATCGCGGCCCTCTGCCGCCCTTTCCTTCAACCCGGGGCGGCCCTGCCCCCCCTCCCCTGAGCGGCACCCTCTCTCACCCGTGGCCTTGGGGTGTCGTTCGGTAATACCGTCTGCTCCGTGCGTGACACCACGCATCCTGCAAACCGCTTGCCACTGGCATCACTGCCTTTCTCCACCGGTGGCCGACGCCCTCTTGTCACTCGGCTCCTCTCTCCCCGCCATGTTTCACTTCCTGAATCCCAGCGGACGCTGCCCAGGCCGCGCCGCTGGCCCCTAATCGCGGCGCTCGGCCGCCCTCCGCCCGATGCGCGCACCTCCTGCCTTTGGATCCAGTGTGCGCTTCGGCAATACCGTCCACCGCCTCTCCGCAATGGACTCGCGGCCTCAGGCCCTACTGTAGCTGTCTCACCGCCAGGCCTTCCTGGCTTGTCAGTGGGCCACTGCCGCCTGACCACTGGCTTCCCCCTGGACTTTCTAACCGAACGATCGGCCTTCCGCCGTCACCCTGGACCTTTCAAACAAGAAGGACGGCCTTCCGCCGCCACCCTGGATCCGTTGCTCTGTGGGACACGTCTCGGGTACAAGACGTCCTCGTCCCTCTGTGCTAGACGACTCGGTTGGGTATCGCTGGACCACCTTCGATGTGCACACTCCTAGGGGTCTGCCGTGTATCGTGCCCTTCCTTACCTTCCACTCGTCGGATCTGGGCTGTCGCATCTCAGGTGCGGTTGTTCTGTCTTGTCATCACTCTCCACACCCTGGATGCGCTTCTTGCGTTGCGACTGGCTCGCCGTCTGCTTTTCAGTTGGTACTTGTCCTCAGTCAGCCTGTGGTACCCTGCAGGCTCCATGGATCGGTGCCCTCTGGACGTCATTGCTGGACGGCTTCCTACCGCGACCTTGGATCAGTGGCTTTGTGGGACTTGCCTGGGTATACACGGTCTCGTTCCGCCTGTGCTCTCCGTCTCATTGGACTGCACTGTGACACTGTGCTGTGCACGCGCCGCGTTTCGACGGGAGCGTGCATCCGGTGCCCTTCCACCCGTTGGGTCTGGGCCAATACGTCTTGGTGTGGTTGTCTTCTCGGATCATGGGTACACCTTGATGTCGCTGACGCCGCGGCTCGCTGCCGCCGTCGGGATTCTCGTTGGACTTACCACCCCGACCTCTGTGTTACCCGACAGGCTGGGGCTGGCGTCCTCGGTCGTTCCCTTGTCCGCTCTTGGACGTTGGAACGTTCTCGCGCCATTTTGGCTGCGCTTGGTGGTCTCAGTGCCTACCTCAGGCCTGTTGGACGCACCTGCATGCCCGTTCAGGGGCTGTCATGGCACCTGGGTTGCATCGTTTTCCCTGGACGCTGTCGTGAGCCGCCTGATCCGCGGCCCTGCGCGCGTTAGGTAATTTAGTCGCGTCCGCGGCCCGTTCGCGACCTTCCGCCGCTGGCGCTTCCGCCTGCGGCTGTAAAAAAAATATCCCCACAAGCTCACTCAGAACTCTTGTTCACGCGAGTTGACGGGAAACAGGGACGAAGAGACATGTAACCAGACACAGCGGGCAATCAGGGTGAGCAGAGATTTTTGGGAGCCATCGGAGTGGCCTTGGAGGGCGTCTTCAGGCCATCCCTGGGGCCCGCGTGGGGGCGAGGGAAGGTGGAGGAGGACGAGGAGCAGCAGGAGTAGGAGGAGGAGGAGGAGAAGGAAGAGGAAGAATTTGACGACGACGACCACGACGACGACGACTACGGAGAGGAGGAAGAGCAACAGGAAGACGATGAGGGCAAGCACGAGGACGAGGAGGAGGAGAAGGAGGAGGAGGAGAAGGAGGAGGACAACGAGGACCAGGACAGAGCCTTCAACTTCGCTTCTTCGAGCCCTCTTGGGACCGTTTTGGGAAATCTGGGGGTCCTCTTGGGGCTCTCTTGGGGGGTCTTAGGGCCCGCTTGGGGGCCTCTAGGAGCGTTCTTGCGGGTCCCCTGCGAGCCCTGGAGGGCCTTTTGCGGCTATCTTTGAGGCCATCGGTCAAACAGGGTGTGTCCTCGATTTTGCTTCCCCCCCCCCTTGGGGCCATCAAACAATCACCTCTTGGGACCCTCTTGGGACGGTTTTGGCCCGATCCTCGGGGCCGTCTTGGGGGCCGGTTTAGGTTTCTCTTGGGCCATCTTGGGGCCATTTTGAGGCCTGAAAGGCGGATCGGACGCGAAAACGAGAGAAGATAGTGTTCCTTGATTTCCCAGTGGTTCTTGAATTTTTCTTGTCCTCTTGAGGGTTCCCGATGGGGGCTCCGAGAGCACTTGGAGCCGTCTTGTGGCCTTTTGGACGCATGTCGGAAGCTATCTTGAACCATCGTCGGCTATCTTGAGCCACCTTCGAGGCCATCTTGGAGCATCGGACGCCCTCTTGGAGCCATCTTGGGCGCCCTGACACTCCGCGCCCCCCCCAAAACCTCAGGGAGGGGGGAAGGTAAACCTCCCCCAGTGTAAGAAGATATAACGGTATAGTCAGACCACCTCAGCCCAGAGGGTTGGTGGGATTATGTGCAAGAGGGGAGCCGTGGAAGTGAAACAAGAAGGAGGAGGAGAAGGAGGAGGAGGAGGAGGAGGGAGGATGGGTAGAGGACGTGACCCGGGAGCGGGAGGCTCATAGTGACCAACTCGACCGAGCTGAAGGAGACGACTCCGCGAGGTGGGCGCCGCCTTTCCCCGCGGGCGTGGCGGGCGCGGCCACAGGCAGGAACGAGGGGGCAAGGCTGGCGACGGGTGGATGGAGCGGGGGGAGGAGGGAGGAGGGAGGAGGGAGGAGGGAGGAGGAGGAGGATGAGGAGGATTATGAGGAGGAGCTTAAGAGACGGAGATCAATGCAAACGGGGGTCAGCCAGGGCACCAGATCCTGCACGACCCTGCGAAGACCCCCCTCTCGCCGACCCGGGTTGGCGAGCCGCTCGTGGCCGCGCATATTGGCTGACTCGGGTTTGCGAAGCCCTGCGTTGCAGTTTATCTGTTTTAGTGTTCTTCCTGAATTGCATTTTTTTGGTTTCCTGCTGACCCTGGGTCTGATTGACCTTGCAGCAGCAGCAGCAGCAGCAGGATGAGGAGGGAGGATGATCAGGCTGAGGAGGCAGGAGGAGGAAGGTGGAGGAAGGAAGGATAGGTCCCGAAGAGAGCACCAGAAGAACAAGCATGAGCTATGGACGTCCGCCGTTGCCCTTGGCGCACTCCCCGCGCCAGGGAGAGGTTGTCCAGTGCCGATCCAAGAGGTCCGTGCGGATTCCGGGAGTCTCCGTGTCTGTGCACATTGCTTCTTCCCTGGGAAGAAGAGGTCGGAGCAGAGAAGGGGGGAGGAGAGATGAGCGGGAGGATTAGGAGTAGTAGGAGCAACGGGGAGGGTATGTGTGATTAGGAGGGGGCGGGAGGAGGGGTACGTGGGAGGAGGACGGGAGGGGGGAGATGGGATCGGAATAGAGGGCGCGAAGAATGCCTCCCTCCCTTCCCTTCCTCCTTGTACCCAGTGCTGAACGGATTACGGCGACCATGACACAACAGGAGGCTCGGGAGCAGCTGGCTGCCACTGACCCCGACGCCGAGTTTATCCCAGCTCCCCCACCAGCACCAGACGCCGTGCCAGCGCTGGACTGTGTTCCCAATCCTGAGAGGTATCCTACCAGACTGTTCTTGACTGAGCGATACACAGGTATTGCGGCTGAGTCGGTGTCTGCCACCATCTGTCGTCGGGAATATTTCGTGCTGAATCTGTATTGTGGGCGCCGTAGGGGTGGGGACATACAGTCACAGGTAGAGTGGTGTCACTACTTACCGGACTATGCCGTGATCATATTGTCGATCGATCTCGCGATACATGTTATTTTCGGTGATATGATGAATGACACGACACTGACGATGTGGAGGGACCACGTGTTGGCAGGGCGAGTTGTCTTGACAGGCGGGGGCCCGCCTTGTGAGACCTGGTCCGCGGTGCGATGGGCAGAGGGCTCCGGGCCGCTACCCTTGCGTTCGCATGACGAATATTGGGGCATGTTAGCGTTGACGCCGAGGCAAATGGAGTAGGTATACGTAGATAATGTGTTGTTGGGCGCTATGCTTTTATTGTTTGCTGCCCACCTTGCCGTCGGCACGTCATGTTGGATGGAGCACCCGCAGCCATGCCATTGGAGGTTGCAGGCTGTCTCGACGTTCACAGCACACCCCTTGCGTGCGTTGATGTCGTCCCCGGCCGTGACTACGACAGATTTTGATCAGTGCGAACACGGTCAGACCTCTCGTGCCCCCACACGGATCGTGGCCTTACAGGTTATTGGGCTCCACCAGCGCTTGCTTGACACGCCAGGGAGGGGGAGATGCTCGCACGGCAGGAATGGGCATGAAACTCTGATGGGATATGATAGATCTAGGCGGGAATAGAGAACCGCTAAGACAAAGACCTACCCCACGAATCTTTGCCGTTGTATCGCCGACAGCACGATCGATACGATTGCGCAGATGGCGGCACCGTGTGCAGATGACGAGTTGCCTGCATGTAATGGGGGAGGGGCCGGAGCTCCGTGATGCTTTTTTCCAGCTTCATGTGTCCTGGGGCCCCTTATCAGGGCCATGGTGAGGCATGGGATCCCGATCTCGTGCCCCGTGCCGCTCGTCGCAGACGAGCCGACCCCGAGCGTGACAGGTTCTCTCCGCCGGAACGGCCACAGGCCGACGAGCAGCGTCCTCCGCCCGTCACTCGGGAGCCCGAGGCCGCCCCTCGGCCCCCCCCCTTGGGCCCCCGGAGGCGCACGAGGGGCAGGAGTGCATGGCTGCTCGGGGTTTTTCCTCGCGGCCACGCCCGAGCAAGAGCACGGGCCTGGCCATGCCTCCCTCCCTCCCTCCCTCCCTCCCTCCCTCCCTCCCTCCCTCCCCCGCCCTCCCTCCCTCCCTCCCTCCCTCCCTCCTCCCTCCCTCCCTCCCTCCCTCCCCCCCTCCCTCCCTCCCTCCTCCCTCCCTCCGAGATCCGTGCTAGGATAGCAGCGAACCGAGAGGCCGCTGGGTTGCGGCGTGCCAGCAGGGCCCGGCAGGCCCGTGCACGGCAACTCCTGGAGGTGGCCCCTTAGAATGCGGGCCCTGCTTCTGGCTCTGGTTTGTTACTTGATCCTCCTCCTCCTCCCCCTCCCCCGCAACTGGCGTTGGACAGCTCTGGAGTCGTCCTTGCTAGGGGGATGGGCAGATCTGTGCAGTCGGAGAGCTCTGTGGCGCCCCGCTGGCGCCGTCGCAGGCCACGCTCAGTCACGTCCAGCTTTCGTCCTCTCTGCCATCCATGAGGAGGAGGAGGAGGAGGAGGAGGAGGAGGAGGAGGAAGAGGAGGAGGAGGTGGAGGAGGAGGGGGAGGAGGAGGCGGGGGAGGAGGAGGAGGAGGAGGAGGAGGAGGAGGAGGAGGCACGAATCCCTGCATGCTGTACATCATAGGCGCGTCCCGTGCTCTCATGCCGCCACCGCAGTTGAGCAGGCTCGCAGCGAGTTGGCGAGACGGAGCTGGGCCGTGCTCACGTCCTGACACTTGATGTTGGGTCCTCGGTTTCTCTGCTGGGGCTCTCTCTTCCCGCCCGTGGGTGTGGTGTCCCTCCCCGCTGCCTTTGCTGCTCCTCCCCCTTCCCGCCCCACCCCGCTGCCTTGCCGCTGCCGTGTCTGCTGCTGTGGTGTGGGGTTGGGGCCTTCGCTTTCTTGTGTACTCACCTTGAGAACTGGTCGTCAGGCGGCGCTTAGAAGTTGATCGATATTTGTGTTCAGCTACGTTGGCATAAGTACCTCCAGCGTTTGCCCAGTCTGCCATTTCGGCCTTTCTGTCCTTCTTGGCTTTCACCCGCTGGCGACATACGGGATGATCGTTCGGTCCATGTGAGGAGAGGTTGGGGTTTTCTCCAGTCTCGTGTCGCCAACTTCTTGTTCTGCAGTGTGACATTGTCGGTGTCTTTCTTCTTATAAAGAGTGAGTTCCGCCGGTGGGTGGGGCTCCCGGAAAGACCCAACGAACAGGACCCGCGCTCTCTGTCGCCACTTGTTTGTCCTGCTTCCTCTGACACTGCTTCGACACTGCCTCCTTGTCTGTCCTGCTTCCTTGTTTGTCCTGCTTCGGATGGCAGCAGTGCCTGCCTCCGACCTTGGCGCCGTCGGTTTTTGCAAGCGTTCGCCTAGTGAATACCTGTCGTGGGTACCGCCCTTAGTCTGACCAGCCAGCGGTTGAAAAAGAGGTGCAATCCAACAAATCCCTTCCTCCCCGTAGCCTCCTCCTTCCAATCCATCTCCAGTTGGATTCCGCCAGGAAAGTCTTCACGCTTCGCGTATCCCCACCAGCCCATCTCAAAACAGCAACTCTTGCGAAGCATGCCGACCGTCGTGTTTTTCAGGCGTGTTTCCGCCTGCCCCCGCATATCTCCCCTGTTCCTCCTTCCTCCCGCCTCCTTGTACATCCTCCTTGTGGTGGGAGCGGGAGAAGGACGAGGCGGAGGAGGAGGGAGAGAAAGCGCTCCTCGTGGTTTGAGTCGTTTGGGGTTTCTCGTCCTGGTGTGAGTCGTTCGGGCCCTTCTTCCTGGTGTGAGTCGTTCGGGCTCTTCGTGGTGTGAGTCGTTCGGGCTCTTCGTCCTGGTGTGAGTCGTTCGGGCTTCTCGTGGTGTGAGTTGTTCGGGCCCCTCGTCCTGGTGTGAGTCGTTCGGGCCCCTCCTCCTGGTGTGACTCGTTCGGGCTCCTCGTGGTGTGAGTCGTTCGGGGCCCGCGTCGTGGTGTGAGTCGTTCGGGCTCCTCGTGGTGTGAGTCGTTCGGGCGCCTCGTCCTGGTGTGAGTCGTTCGGGCCCCTCCTTCTGGTGTGAGTCGTTCGGGCTCTTCGTGGTGTGAGTCGTTCGGGCCCCTCGTCCTGGTGTGAGTCGTTCGGGCTCCTCGTGGCGTGAGGCGTTCGGGCACCTCGTCCTGGTGCAAGTCGTTCGGGCCCCTCGTAGTAGAGTAGTAGTAGTAGTAGTAGTAGTAGTAGTAGTAGTAGTAGTAGTGGTAGTGGTAGTGGTTGTAGTAGTAGTAGTAGTAGTAGTATAGTAGTAGTAGTAGTGTAGTAGTAGTAGCATAGCAGTAGTCGTAGTAACTGTGCAGTTAGCAGTTGAGCAGTTAGCTGTAGCAGTTGCAGTGATGCAGTAGCAGTTAGCAGTAGCAGTAGTAGTAGTAGTAGTAGTAGTAGTAGTAGTAGTAGTAGTAGTAGTAGTAGTAGTGGTCGTAGTCGTCGTGGCCGTAGTCGTAGTTGTAATTGTAGTAGTGAGTGGTGGTGGTAGTAGTAGTAGTAGTAGTAGTAGTAGTAGTAGTAGTAGCAGTAGCAGTAGTAGTAGTAGTAGTAGTAGTAGTAGTAGTAGTAGTAGTAGTAGTAGTAGTAGTAGTAGTAGTAGTAGTAGTAGTAGTAGTAGTAGTAGTAGTAGTAGTAGTTAGTAGTAGTAGTAGTAGTAGTAGTAGTAGTAGTAGTAGTAGTAGTAGTAGTAGTAGTCGTAGTAGTAGTAGTCGTAGTAGTAGTAGTAGTAGTAGTAGTAGTAGTAGTAGTAGTAGTAGTAGTAGTAGTAGTCTTTTGGGAGCCTCTTGGAGGCCTTTTGGGGCGTCTTGGGAGCCTCTTGGCGGCCCCAGGGGCTTCTAGGAGCGTCTTGGGTGCCTTGGGGGAGCCTCTTCGGGCCTC